CTGTATCTGTTTACACATAAATGTCGTTATTAATAAAAAGCAGATGCAAGTAATGTAGAAAAATATGGTACATTAGCAAGCTGTCCTCAGAATTTAAGCCCAGATTCTCAGAGCTTCCACAATTGTGCAGCAAATGTCCAGCTAAATGTCTGTTGCTCTGCCTGCGTGTTGGTGCTTTGAGTGCCTGCGTGGTGCTTTGGTAAATGTATGTTTAGACAGGCACTACTTCTCTGGCCCTAATGCTTTCCCAAGGTCATTGGCACCAGTTGCTTTTTAGTGTGTGTAGTTTTCTGTTAGGTGTTTTATTTAGAAAAGATCTGACTCTTGGATCAGGAAAGCTGACTGCTTTGATCCCTGTTAGGTGGCCTATGTGAAATGAAGAGCTTGGGTCTCAGTCCAGAAACTGGTAGGAACCAGAGGTCTACATTGCAGCTGCCCCCCTTATGGTAGCCTTGGCACGGGGGCCAAGGACTGGATGGGCTGTGGAGATGCTGACTTATAAAAGTAGTCCCTCCTGTTCAGGGTTAAGGTATGTTGATAAGCAGTTGAGGTCTGTCCAGCTGCAGTCCTCTGTACCTTTTGTTGTTCTGCTTCTCCACTCCACAAACCCCACCTGCTGAGAAGGAGCTCAGGCCTGGGAAGTCAAATTCTTGATGTAAACACAAGAGAGTGTAGCAGAATTGCCCTGGGTATGTTATTCCTTTTTCCAAGGAATGACTTAGATCAGGGAGCAACACCCACGTGGTGATTCATTCAGAAACGTGTTCTTGGATGGGAAATCATTTGAGACTCGTTGTTGTTGTTCTGCATCTAGTTGGACGTTACTTTGCTCAATGGAGCTGGGGGGGCATTGATCTATGATTGGGATCTCAAGGCACTACCTTGATACCAGTACTAAATGATACTCGTGTTATGCGCAGTGTTGTAAGCTCCAAAGACCACCTCTTTCTCATCTGCCCAGCCAAGCAAGGAGCGATGTTGCACAGTCCAAAAAGAGCTCCATGCATCTTTTCTTGTCTGGAAGAACAAGACAATCCAGCTGTTGCTCTGCCATGGATCTTTTATGGGGAGACCCTGGGAAAAGTCCCAGAGCATTTTTCCCAACCACCAACACTGTGACTGCCAGAAGCAGACAGATTGCTCTGTTTTTTGCCTGCTACTCTGGTCGAAGAGCTGTGATGAAGATTTTTGGCCCCCTGAGTTAGATTCAAGTCAAGTCAGTCCTGAGGCCACTGCAACATTGGGGCACCTTAGATGCTGTGCATCATTGATGATTCTTTGGGCAAAGTGACTTGGTAGTGCCCATCTCCTCTCCAGGTATGAATGGCTGTTGGCTCACAGGGAGCTCATCTGCCTTTTGACAGGCCTTGCTTTTAGTCCTGCTGGGTATCCATACACCCTCCTCATCCAGGCTAGCCCACCCCCAGGTGGGGGTGCCAGTTGGTTTGGCACCCTAACTATGGAATAGGCTGTACTAGTTTACACAGTACCAGATACCAAGTACCAGATACCAAGAGAAGCCTGGCCTGACAAGACCTGCAGTAGATTAGGGACAGAGAAAGGAGTTGTGATAGAGAGGAGTGGTACCCAGTGTAGACAAAGTATTATGAAGCATGTAGGCCAGGAGACAAAGAGGGTAAAAGACTTCCCAAGGTCTCAACAGCTGAATGACTGTGGTGGGAATAGAATCCCAGCATGTTGATGCCCACACCCTCTTCCCAGCCATTGCATAATGCTTCCTCTGCAATGCATTTTAAAATGTTTTAATGTTGGACGCACTAGACAAACACCCTCTGAGAAGGAAAGTTAGCAGAAAACGTGCCTCTAGAGATCACAGGGGTATTGGCACCTTCCGTGAGCTGTGCTCCAGAGGATAGACAGCATTGTGTTTAGATCAATAACTGGGGCTATGAATGCTTTAATGGCACATGCAACTAGGTTAGCACTGTGCACAGAAGTGATTGTCTCTCCTGCTGAAAATTTGTCTCTTAGATGAAGTATTCTGTATTAGGTGAGCCTTTACAACAACGGAATGTGGTGTTTAAAAAGGGAAGACAGATATATGGATACATATCTGACTGCTTCCAGGAGTGAATACTGGAGATCTTGCTTCTGGGTGGTGTTAGTTTACTTATATAACCCAGTTACAGTAATCTAAACAAAGCTACCTGACTGCTCCAAAACCATCATTTGAAACCTTGCACAACCCTTAATAAACAACCACAAACCCTGTGTCCTGGCATTTCAACAGTTCCCCATGGGGGACTCATAAAAATGAAAGGGCAAAGGTTAGCCAGAAGCGAGGCTGCAAAGTCCTTGAAATCTCACGTAGGGGGATGAGTCAGGATACTCATCAACATGAGCAAATGGCTGCTTCTCATGATGAAACTGGGCCAGCTGTTGGTCCTCAAGATCCTCTGTTGCTTTGCCTCATTGTCTTGTAAAATCTCCAGGATTTATATGCAGGCTAAGTAGTATCTTGAGTTGGTGTCCTCCAGGTAACCCAGGCATCTGGATTCTGTAGCCAGAATATGCCTTAATGCAGCACAATACTCTCTTGGGTGAAAAAAAAAAGAGGGGAAAATCTCTTGGTTTTGGTTTTCTGTAACAGAACAGAAGTTCAGCACAAACAGATGGGTTTAAAAATGGCAGAACCTGGTCTAAGATAGACCTGGATGGATGTAGTATCAGATTTCATCAGTTTAGGTCAGACCGGTCTATCAAACTACTGTCCAAGTTCCCATCCCAACTCAAATGGGAGTCCTCTGGCATCGCAGGCTGCTTTGTGGGCCCCTGCTGATCCCCAGGGTGGGTGGACTAGCTTTCACCTGCTCCAGCTGAATGCTGCACTGGCCCTGCCCTGCCCTGCCCCCAGGCAGTCACAGATGGTGGGGGCCTGGACTGAGAGTCACACAGTGGCGGGGGAGAGGGGGAAGAGAGGCTCCCCCTAGCTGTGCTTGTTCAGGTCTGGGGGGGCCAGGGCCAGACCCGCAGGGTGGGGGGGCCTCTGCTCTGCCCTCCCTCCACCCGCCACCATTGCCCAGTTCAGCTGTCACAAAAATGGTAGGAGCCAGGGCTGAGAGCTGCACAGGGTGATCATCTGAGCCAGGTAACGCGGGGGGTGGGCACTGTGCAGGCCCAGCTCCAGCCCCCCGAGACCGGAGCAAATACAGTGGGGGGGCTGCCCTTCCCCTGCACATGCAGGAGCGCTTCCTGCCTTCTGGCCTCAGCCAGTGCTGTCATCTACGTGCCCCCCTCGCCCTCCAGACAAAGGTGAATGTGTGTTCCTTGAGCTCCCAATCCAGTCCACACAGCTTAGAGAAACCGGCGTACATTGAACCAATTCTGCCATGGGCCTTTTGATTGTCTATACCTAGCCATAGTCTGAGATCATTCTGGTCTGTACAGTAGAAAACTGAAAGACTTTAGTAACTAACTAAAGTTACTCATGTTAGGAAACAGCATTGGCATAAAAAAATGAATGAAATAAAAAACTGTCTGGCCTAGGAAGGGCTGGATGACTTAGAGAAGATGGTTTAGGACCATATAGACACATACTGTTCCCTTCACATGAGCAAGGAAGCATGTGAGGAAATCAGAAAACAATGCATCAAGTGGACAAGAGAATATTCTGTAGTTAGGTGTTGATCACCTCAACATAAATGTGTCAAGCATTCGCATTAGACCCGTGAGGTACAAGCCACATAAAATCAGTGGCACTACAGCAGGCGTGCTTATGCCCACTGAGAAGCAGAAGCGTTGCATAAACAATTTTGATGAGCATTAATGAGCAAGATACAAAGTCAATTTGGCACTTGAGCACTTTTACAAGAAAATTACAGTGGATGTGAATGTTACAGTGGACGTGCTGGTATCGTAGGCAGATATCTATGGTACCCTGGAGGAGAGCAACTTAAGATGAAATAAGGAAGAACATGACGGGAACCCAGCACAGAATATGTGGCAATTATGCAAAAAGTGATCATGTGAAAATGGTTTCTTCTTACTCAGCAGCTGTGCTCCCTTCCTGTGCGTCAGGAAGTCAAGCTCTGCTCATTGACCAGACAGAAGTAGTGAGCTGGGTTTCATTCCACCTTGTGTGTTCCCCGTGGTGCTGTCAGCTATATTCTGGCTGCAGGATCTTTATTACTGAGGATGATGTAAGAGGCAGGAAGAACACCAATGGCTTTCAGAAATTTGCAAGGCCTGCAATTGCAGCCGTTATCATTTGGTTTCCAAACAGAGCAAACTTGACCAGGTGTCATTAACAGGAAATGAAACCACATAACTTTGTGTGTCTTTGTTGCCCTGTAATATTTTTGCTCTGCACCTGTGGAGTCAGCTGGCCACCAGAGGGTGCATAAACTGATGAAGAAGCCCTGTTCTCAGAGCCACTAAGCTGGAGTTACTAATTACATTAATGATGTTCCTGAGAAAGTGTGTGCCTTATTTATTTTTTCCTTTCTGGCACATGATCCATTTAAAACACAGGTAATTGGGGAAGCCAGATATTTGCCAAATGGAAAGGGATGAAACCAACAGGGAAAAAATGGCAGCATCAAATTCCTAAGAAGATGTTCCACCCAATGGTGCCCACAGTCCATTCTTACAGAGTATAATTAAATGGAGAGTGAGCGTGGCTTTGCTTTTTGCATTTGCCTTGACCAGTAGGAGGCAACGTACCCTAGAAATACTCTTTCAGACCCGTCCACTTGGAGCATGAATCCTGGGATAAGATTACTGAGAGATTCAAAGATTCATGGCAGTGTCAATGTTGGCTCCTAAATAACATTATCATGGTCTGCTCATCTCAGCCAGCTGAGAGCCTCTTCTTCATTTTCTGGTGGGAGATCCATGATGATGGTTTCCCTTGGACCTTTCCATTCAAGTTTCCTTCCAGATTAACATGCTGGAGTTTTAAGTCACAGTTGGGTCGGTGTGAAAATGCAGCGTCTCTGCTACAGGAGCTTGCTGTGGCCAAATGGTTTTGTTTTTTTTAGGAACAAACAAGGAGAACAAGATTTTTATCCCCCCTGAAACCAGTCAGTTTGCCAGCTTGCATCCATCTTAGTGAAGTCTTTTAAAGATACTGGACCACTCACTGGGAGCATGTCAAGAGGATCATCTGTGCCCTTCTGAGGAGCTAGAAGCAGACCAAAAAACAAAATGAGCTTACCAAGGGAAGCAAAGAAGGTCCAAAAGAACTTATTTAGAAGGCATTTTGGGACTAGTTCTTAAAGCCTTGTGGCAGAATATGCCAAAATACAGCTTTTGATAGGAGCCACTGTCAGTATCTGCATGCTATAGACAGAGCTCCTTTTCTGATTACCTTGCACTGGTACCCCCTGTCCCCTATGCTGAAAGGTTGCTGATATAAAAATGGTGCAGTGTATTTCCATAGCTCTGTCCAAAGGCGGGCTGCTGCACCGCTGCTTCTTCTCGCACCGCTGAATGAAACTTGAATGCTGCTGCCATCCTGGTTTTGCAGGCTGGATCCATCCCCTGAGCTATAGGTTGCTGTCCCCTGCTTTAGATGCACAAAAATGTCCTTGCCCAAGGATCTTTTTATCTAACGGTGTTTCTTTTTTTTTTATTTTATTTTATAGAGACATGTGCCCTGTGGTAAATAAATTGTATTGTGCTTCCCCCCCACAACTCCTCTAATTAATGGTAGGACATAAAACTAGGACAGTTGGTCACATTGTCAGGTTCACTCTGATTCATTCTTCTCCCCAGACAGTTCCCACAGGGAAAGCTTCCCAGAACAGGGATGGGCATTTCCAAAGAAATGCAGACAGACTCTCCAAGCAAAGACGATTATCTCCTTTTTACCTGAAGCCTTTGCTCTCGCTTGCAAGAGGGGGTGTAGACTGTAAATCATTTTATATGACCTGTTAAATACACATGCAGCAGAGTCAGAGATGATGGGTACCCCAAAGAGACTGCAGCATGTATTAGGTAAGAGAAAATAATCAGACAAAATGTTGGGCAACAATTTGTAATCTTCAGCTGGTAGCAATTGGTAACGTGGAAGGGGGAGGAGGTGTTAGCAGAGAGAACAAGGCAGCAGAGGTGTCATTGCACTCTGGCATGTGCATGTGGGTCAGTCCATGTGTGGGGCTCCTGGGAGAGGAGTGGGTTAAGGAAGAATCTGGGGCAGACAGAGGAGGTTGCTTGGCAGACTGGAGAGAGAAGACTGTTCCAAGCATAGAGATAGCAAGGCATTGAGGACACCAGAGGGAAACAGCATAGCTTGTTTGCACTGCAGAAATTTTCCCACCAGTGCTAATCCCAATGTAAATGACACCATGTGCCCTTGTGTAGATGAGCAGCCAGCTGCCCTGGGTGTGTTATGCTCAAAGCATGTGTACCTGACACATTGCTTAACATGCCACCTTCTGCCTGCACGACATCCCTGTTAGAATTGCTAATTGGAGCATATCTATGGAAAGGTTTTAGCTGCTCTTTCCTCTTTTGAGTAAGCTTTAGCCAAGCATGCAGAGCTGTGTTTCAATGTAGAGCATAAGTGGCAGCACTTGCTACTGAATGTGTTGCATTCAGAACTTGCACTTTCCAAATACTTTCCAAGGTGTAAGAGATGAGGAAGGAGCATCCAGAAGCACATACACGTGTGGAAGAGAATGTGACACTGCAGCAAAGTCCTGCACATTTTCACCCAAAAACATGATAAAAAAGTGCCCCTGCTTTGACTGGTTACCTATGCTTCCTTGGATTCTGAAAGCTAAAGGTCATCTGTTAAAGGCATAAACAGCAGGCCCTGTAGTTCTGGTGGTGCCCTGAATAGTTTCCCTTTAAATCATATACCCCTTAGTGAACATCTTTATTTAAATGACAAAAGACGATACAAATAACCCTACTGCATTCTAGGGGGCAGCACACTCTCCATCTCCAGGGTCAAAGCAGATGGTAAAGCAGATTCTGAGCTCTGTGCAGGAGGCCTCCATCCTGGAGGCACAGGCCTTGTCTAGGCCAGTGTTTCTCAACCTTTTAAGTAGCAAGTACCCCCTAACTTTTGAAAATTTTAACAAGTACCCCAACACTCAATTTTCCAGGGGATTTTATATTTACAGGCTAATGTGTGCCATATGTTGGAAGAAGGGCTGTGTATATAAGGCTGTGATATGACAGATGTCTGATCTGGTGTGGACAAGGTTGCCACCTTTTACACCAGAGGTGCACAACTAAAGTATGTACCTGGGCTAGAGGTGATGTTGGCCAAAGCTAGGAGGGCTGAACCCGGTGCTGTGCAAAGTGCGGCACACCAATTATTATTGGAGAATTTAACCAAATTTTTTGCCATAGTTTTGAGAGGAAAAGAGGGCAAGAGAGAGAGGAAAGGAGGGTGAGAGAGAGTGTTTGGGTACCCGTGTACCCCCTGCCTGTGTCTTGCGTACCCCTGGGGGTATGTGTACCACAGGCTGAGAAACTATGGTCAAGGCCAGGCACAAGGCACCCTCACGCGCTCTAGACCAGTGGTTCTCAACCTTTTTGTACCGGGACCCATTTGTAAACATTGATGGCCAGTCCTGACCCAGTGCCCCCCAGCCCCCCATTGTGTGGGGCAGGGGGAGTGGCGCATGCGGGGCATCTAAAGCCATGGTTTCCCACTTTTTTCTCCTTTAAGGGAGAATCCATTTTTAAAGTTTGTTGATCCATTTTTAAGGTTTGTTTGCGACTCTTTCATACAGTTTTGCTACCTACTTTTGAGTTGCAACTCATGGGTTAAGAAACGCTGCTCTGGAGTACTGGGACAACTGCATGTGGGCTATTCCACTAGCCTAAAATGCTCTTTTCTACATTGTTTTGGCTCCATCCGATCCCTTTGCAGCAAGGTTTGGGACCAGAGCTACGTAGAACTTCCTCATTCATTGTATGCCATGACAGGAGTTTCACCATGCAAGGGCTTCTCCCCACAGGCCATTCTGCATCATTCACGACCCTTTCTTTGGACAGAGTGGCATAGGAACCACCAAGGGAGGGAAGGAGGTCCTATCCTCCTTGAGGTGGTTAGGGAGTTGGGAGCTTGTACAGGACTGAATATCAGTGTGTGTTTGTCTAAAGAAAGCAATAGTTTGCAGAAACTCCCGCATCACTTATGTCTTACAGGTTGTTTAGGATTTTTTTCTTGAGCTCTAGAAGTATTTGTTAGCAGTTGAGGTAGGCTTGAGCAATGCTTAACAGGTTAATAAACAACTTGGGGAAGGGAGTAGGTGAGAGTTTTTTTGAAATTGCAGGTATGTTTGCCCCTTCCTAGAAACTGTGTTACTTATATGTGCCTCCTTGATGGAAGCTCCAGAGCAGTTTCAGACAGCAGTACTATAGGGGCACTCTGCTATAGGAATATAAGAAGTTCCATACTGGGTCAGACCAATGGTTCTTCTACTCAAGCACTGGTTATCAACCAGCTGGTTCTGTCCGTGCTCGGGCACTGCTTCAGCATCCTGCCCATGCCCCCAGAGCTCCTGACCAGGCTCCAGAGATAGACGCTAGGGTTCTGGCCAGGACGGCACTGGTTCTCTGCAGGGGTCCTGAGCCTCCCTTTACAAGAGGGCAGGCAGGACCTTGTCTGCCTCCTCAGCCAGATCCACACCTTCCACATGCAGGCCCCGCAGAGGCTCCTGTAGCAATACAGCATGGAGTCACTTAGGACACGCCTTCCTCCACCGTCCCGGGGGTTCCAATATGACCCACAGCTCTTCTCCCAAAGCAGAACCTGGAAGAGCTGCTGGATTTCTACCAGGACCTCCTTAGGGCCTGGAGGCTGGTCTCCACCGCCAGGTCCCCAGACATGGTTGCCTGGGGCACTGACCTTGCTGACAAACCCACAGCTGGTGGTGCAGGTGATGGAGATGCCCTGGGTGCATGAGAGGATGGGTCCTGGCCAACATTACTTGCACTGGGGACCTCCTGATCTATGCCAGGCAGGGGTGGGAAGATCCCACTGCTGTGTGTGCTCTGTGCCCAGGAGGTCAAAACTGTCCTGCCAGACACTGCCCTTGCTTATATCAACCAGGTCCTGCACAACGGCAGTTCCTGCTCCCCAGTATTCCCCAGCCCCCTGGAGCTCATTGTGAGGCCCCTGCCTCGGCAGGCCCCATGGCACTCCCCACCTCACCATCTCAGCAGGCTGGGGGATACCAAGCCACTCCACTTCCAAACTGCCCATCGCCGCCAGTTCTACACTCTTGTGGTCCACACCCTCCACACCCATCCTTGTGTCCTGCCAGGACACTAGGTGGTAGGACATGGTCAACAAGGATGAGGGTCCCTAGTTGACAAGTCTGTATTTCACCGTGATCCTGCGAGCCACAGGGGACTTCAGCTAGTGGCTTCTGCATGGCACCATCACCACAGGCGTGTATCTGGCAGAGTTGATGGACGCTCTGAATACCTGTCCTTTCTGTGAGCAGAGAGAGACCCTGGTGCATGCCTACCTGGAGTGCATCAGTCTGCAGTCCCTTCATTGCCCCCTTTAGAGCCTCGTGCTGAATAGTCTGCCTGCACTATTCCCCCTCACCTGTTTGGTTTTTTTTATCCACTCTCCATCCATGGCCCTGCCAAGTCCTGGGACCTCCTGGTCAGCCTCCTCCTAGCCCTGGCTAAGCTAGCAATATATTTCACCGAGAAGGAGGATCTGGCTGGGAGGACCTCTGGGAACTGTGGGGCCACTTTTCTGACTCTGGTCTGATCCTGTTTCTGGGCAGAGTTTCACTGGGCAGTGTCCAGTGGCTCCTTGGATTCATTTGGGGGGGCAGTGGGCACTGTCCAGTGTGCTCTGCTTGGTGTACCCTTTGGTGCACTAGCTATAAACCTTTGACCTTCACTCCTATCCCTGTTATGTTTTCAGTTGTCCCATGCAATTAGTTGTTGCCTTTCCAGTAGCCTCCCTGTTTAAGGGAAACTAATAGTTTATTTAGTGGGCACTGCCTCATGATTCTTTTAAGGCAACAAATAGGCATGTCTCCAACAGGAATGGATGCTTTAGAGCAGTGGTACCCAACCCTTTTGCCCTG